CGGGGCGCGGGCGCAGGTCGGTGTCTGCGGGGACGCGGGCGGTGTCTCGGGGTTTACTTGTGCGTGGGGCTTCGTACCGCGAGGGATGGGTTCCACAGCGGACGTTTGCCCTCTTGCGGTGTGCTCCAGGGAAGTGTGCGCACAGCTTCTCACGTGGGCTTGTCACAGGCACTAAGAAGAACAGTGCCGGTATGGATATCGAAGATTAAAATGGAAATGTACTGCGCTGTTACCACCTAAAGCACCTTCATAGACTGGGCTGGTTTGCTGCCCATCCATGTACCGGGTATCACCCCATCTTTCTGGAGTCATGGACCAGTGAAAGCACCAGCAGAATCAGAAAAACAGTGAAGTGAAGGAGTGGTATAAATTAGGAATCACTTCTTCTGCCTTATTCTAAAATTGTTCTTTTCTCTGAAATGCTTATCACTTGTGAGTCAAGACTGGTTGAATGCCTATCAAAATTATGATACTTCCTAAGTAACTTTTCCACCCATTTAACCATTTTAATTTGTTTTAATACTGTTTAGCCATGCATCATTTTTACGTGATTTCACATAGACACAAGAACTGAAAGGGTTCTGAAGGCAATCGATCTGTCCTATTACTGTTTTCCAGGTTATCTAAAAGCAGTTACTTTGATCCTGTTTACTCCAGAAGCTGCAATGAAACCTTCATCTTGCAGCTAATACTTTTTTTTCATAGTCGACGAGCATCCCATGAACGTCACTTTTCTCACTGCTTTATTTTGTGGGGTTTGATAATTTCAGGTTGAGAAACATTTCACACATTTGGCCTGTGCTTCCCCTTAACTTTAGCTTCAGAGATAATGAAGTGTTCCTTTTCAATGCAGTGTAACATCACCAAATGTATCTCACACAGCCCTCTCAATGTTTTCAATGTAATTCTATGAAATTAACTGGCAGATGTCCAGTCTTCCTGTTTTGGAATAAATTTAGAATATTAAAGATTTGTGATACACATATTTTCTTTCTAAGCAAAGAAGACACTTGGTTTCAATGAAATTGTATTTCACCTTAGTTTTCTAACATACCTTCAAATGCAGACATTCTGAAACCCGCGAGCAGCATCTGCAGGTATCGGTCAGTTTGGAGAATAATGGTAGTTGTAGCATTTGGTTTTTCCCACCCTCCCACACATGTTAATTGCTGTTAATGACATATTTACTCATGTTTATACCAAAATCATCCATCCAAATCAAAAGCTGAAGAGCCAAGAAGCTGTTTGTGTTGTGCCAGTTCACTTGACCAAAGTAGTTCTGTGTAGATTTATTAGTACATGATATCTTCTGCTGTAACGTTTGCTTCTTCTGTTTTAGTCTTAATTTTAGGGATGTTAATCCCACTAATGGCTATTAGCAGCAAATTCACTGCATGTGCTGTGGCACTTGCCACACAAAGCCAAAAAGAGTCTTCAAACCTTTCCTCTAAGACAACGAATTGAAAGACATTTTCCCTAAAACTGGCGATTCTTTCTGTGAGGTGATGAAGTTTCACAGCAGCCATAAAGCTCGTGACAGCGAGTACTAGAAATCCACCTGCAATGAAATGGAAGAAGTGTTGTTGTCAAAACAGGGCAGATTTTGGTTGGTGTCTTCAGGTGTCTTATTGAATACAACAGTGAGTGTGATACAGAGTAGGGATAGGTTTAGGTGTGGCTTAAAGACCTTCAAAATGCTTAGCTTTTATTGTATGCCCAAATGTTGTACCAGTGTTGGTGATAAAGTCCTTCTCTCAATGGACTGGCATTCATAGCTCCTGTAAAATCTGACTACACACAGTAAGCCGAGATGCCACCTAACAGTGCTGTTTCAATAGATAAGAATTCACTGCTCCCTTCAATTTATTCACAAGTATTTAAGTCAAGGAAATATTTAGAAGGCAAGAGAAGGGACTTCTAACATTTTGTATGAATGTGACTGGTAAAAGATACTGGTAAAATCTGTTACCTGCAATGAAGTTCCAAAGGCAAACTCCTGCTGGACCCTTAATAGCCCGGTAAGGAACTTTTATTGCGTTAAGAATGCAGAATCCAAAACTGACCAGAGAAAAGGAAATGGCCACACAGAGGAACATTATAATGGTCACATGCAGGCCTGTATTCAGCTTTTTCACCATGTGTGGGAAAACTGTCAAAGAAAATAAAAATCATCTATTCAGTGTGTGGTTTTTCTTGACAACAGTAAACATCACACTGTGCTGGTGCTACAGACTTAAATTATACTGAAATAAGACTATTTTTTACAGAGGTGATCAATTCAGGTAGTTACATATACCTCAGTTCATGATGCTTTATTTGTCAGTGTCCTGGGTTCAGCTACAGC